AACAGACAGACGGACAGACGGACAGACGGACAGACGGACATGGCTATATCAACTCAGGAGGTGATCCTGATCAAGAATATATATTTTATAGGGTCGGAGATGTCTCCTTCACTGCGTTGCACACTTTTGACCAAAATTATAATACCCTCTGCAAGGGTATAACAACATTCTATTATGATATGAATATGTTTTATTTAAAATAATGGAAATTACAATAAATGTTATATTTTAAAGACCTAATAAACAATTAGAAGAATTTCAGACAATAGAAACTAGCTTAATTTAGTACTAATGCTCTATGTATGTCTTTTAATTTCAGATATAAAATAATAACCGCTGAATATAACTCTTCGCTGTTGAGGTAGAAAAAGGGAGACGACGACTGGTAAATCCTGGATAACCTTGAAGACGACACCGAAGCCCGGCACAATTCCTTGACCATGCTGATCCTGATGTCCTTACCGCATTCCTGTATATATAATTTTTGTTAGTTTAGATATATCGGTTCTTAAATTACAGAATTCAAATAAAGGTGATTTTATACAAGAAAATGTTGCACAAATTTTATTTCTGGGGACTCATTCATTCTTTTTTATATTTTCTTAATAAATAAGTATCGGAAACCTTTTATAAGTTTATTTAAAAGGAATATATTTTTACAAAATTAAACCACAATCATTTGGAATTATTCCATTTGTTAATCGGATGATTGCAAGAAAAGTTATGGGATTAGAGGTGCAGGTTTTGGGTGACTTTTCAGCAAAGCCATTTTCCGAAAATTTGGAAAGGGGTAACATTATTAAAATGACGGAAAATCGACCAAAAAAAAAAAAGAAACTGAAAACACAGATTTTTAGAGAATTACACCACAATTATTTTGAGGTATGCCACTTTGAAATCTGATATCTGTAAGAAAAGTTATGGGCATAGAAGTGCAGGTTTTAGGCCACATTTCTGCAAAGCCGTTTTTCGAAAATTTGGAAAGGGGTAACATCATTAAAATGACGGAAAACCGACCCCAAAATACAAAACAAACTGGAAACACAGTTTTTTAGATAGTTAAGCCACAATCATTTGGAAGTATGCCATTTGTAAATCGGATGACTTTAAGAAAAGTTATGGGCATAGAAGTGGAGGTTTTAGGCCACAATTCTGCAAAGCCGTTTTTCGAAAATTTGGAAAGGGGTAACATCATTAAAATGACGGAAAACCGACCCCAAAATACAAAACAAACTGGAAACACAGTTTTTTAGATAGTTAAGCCACAATCATTTGGAAGTATGCCATTTGTAAATCGGATGACTTTAAGAAAAGTTATGGGCATAGAAGTGGAGGTTTTAGGCCACAATTCTGCAAAGCCGTTTTTCGAAAATTTGGAAAGGGGTAACATCATTAAAATGACGGAAAATCGACCCCAAAATACAAAACAAACTGAAAACGCAGTTTTTTAGAGAGTTAAACCACAATCATTTAGCAGTATACCATTTGTAAATCGGTTGACTTTAAGAAAAGTTATGGGCTTAGGAGTGCAGGTTTTTGGTGACTTTTCTGCAAAGCCGTTTTTCGAAAATTTTGAAAATCGCCCCCAAAATACAAAACAAACTGAAAACGCAGTTTTTTGGAGAGTTTAACCATTTAGAAGTATGCCATTTGTAAATCGGATGACTTTAAGAAAAGTTATGGGCTTAGAAGTGCAGGGGACTTTTGTGCAAAGCCATTTTTCGAAAGTTTGGAAAGGGTTACATTATAGAAATGACATTATGCCAAGTTTTCTTCTTTATTTAAGTGTGTTTTCTCCACTTTTCAAATTCATATTTATGCGAGTTTAAGAGAGTGCACAAACACACAAATCATGCTGACTATTTGGAACTGCGGGCTATATCTTGCTGGCCGTGTTTATAGCGTTATGGCGTGAGACACTGAGACATGGGCAATTATGTAAATATGCGGCGGCGCCTGCTAGCGACGAAGGACGAAGGACACAATGGGACAACCGCAAATTATTGCCGGCCATTTGGCGAATGAATGCGTGACAAAACACAGAGCCAGAGGACACTCCTTGGACAGGACGGGGAGTATTCACAGGAGACAATCGCGCACAAGGACAATGGCGGGCTCAGCGGGAGTGGCAGCGAGGTCAAAGGTCAGCCGCGCTAATGTTGTGCTAATTGCTAATTGCGATTGGAACGCGGCGAAAACAGAAACGGTACAAAGAAGCTGCTGAGGCGGCGCTCTGGCCTAATTGAAGTGTCCTTGCCGCGATGATATACTGCAGGCGCTTGGAAAGGAGGTAGCTGCTGATTTCAAAAGGTGCAACTACACTCGAAACATCGGTTAAGTTCACTATTCAAATTTAGCTTTTTAATGAAAAAGTGTGTGTACTAAGCTAGCTACCGTTTATACAACAATGTTGTAATTATAAGTTCCTCTTATAATAAATTGGTATCACTATACTGGCTAAATGGTTATCATTATTGCAATCTGTTTTAAATTATTAGATTAAATTTTATTTTTGATATAATTTTAAAACATTGAAAGTCTTTGTTCTATTAGTTTACCTTTGCTAAAATATTGTTTACTCTATACAATTTCTTTGTTGTGTTTCTTTATTAGGTTTCTCTGAGTGTAGTCTTAGCCTTTCGCATCTCATTGCCATCGAAAGCGGCGACGACATTAAGGATAGCGACAGCAGCATCCGAGTGGACCACCCAGAGGGCCACACAAACTGCTGCTCATCCATATCCTGGCAGGAGGTCCTTGCCCCCCCAAAGCCCCTCTCCCCCGCTGGCTTTGTTTGGTAATTCGATCTGGCGCACGCGTGGCCAGCTCAAGACCTCAGGAGCAGGATCCAAAGATCCCCCATTGGATCACTCTCTGATCTTTTTCGGCAATCGCCAGCAGTTTGAGTTGTGTCAGATGAAAAGGATCGGGGCCAAAGGCACATCCAGCCAGCTGAGGCCAGGTGTCAAACGTGTAACTGGATATACACCGGCAACCTCCTCTGGATCAGGTCATCTTTAGTTTTGGCATTTGCAAAGTGGACCACCAAATTGACTGGATCGACCGTCTGCTGTTTTGGGTCACTTCTGGGCAATACGCTTTAAAATTAATGGGGTATATGGATTTGATAGGGGGTTTTGGTTATATGATTTATTAAAAAGATGTTCCAAAATTATTTTTATGTCATACAACTTTTATTCTGCGGAAAAAATCGGATAAAAATGGGATAGAATAATAGCTTATACAAATATATATAAGTCAAGATTTTTCTGCCACTTTCTTGATTAAGAATAAAATAATTGTTTTCTCAATTAAGCAAGCAACATATTATAATAATACGTATGGATTTATTATTACACATATTTAAAAAGAAGAGTATGCAGACATCATTATATAATTCCCGAGCATATTCATAATATTCCCCCCGATCCCCCTGCATTTTTTTGGGGCATTAAATGTGTCGTTGCCTTAAGCGCAGCTCGCCTGTTTCATTTTTTTTTGCCGGCCACCAGAGTTGATTGAAATTTCGGCAATGACCCCTGCAGCAGCCGACATTTGTGGCCCAAAACTGCAGCAGAAGTGGCAGCAAAGGCAGCTGGAAGCAGCAGACTGGAAGCAGCTGCCGCCCGGAGCAACTTTAACGTGGACATTAACGTTAACAGCGACCTTAACTTCGCCCACTGGCCAGGTCGACGAAGCGTTAAAACGCACACGTTGACAGCTTTTTCTTTTGTTTTCTTTTTTTTTTTGTTTTTGCTTACTTTTCTTTATGGGCTTCATGGGTTAACTGAAGCGGCGGCAGTTGCAGTTTACAGTTTGCATTTTGCCGCTGTCGTTGCTTAATGTGCGATTTCTATCTGCAAATATAAATTGTAATTATTGCATTGTTGCGTCGGAGTTGCGGCAAGTTCTTATCAAAGGCAGCCATCGGCAGTCGACTGACAAAGGCAAAAAATTAACAAAAAATTGCAAATGAGTGTCGAAAAGTGTACACCACCCCCCCTGAGTTCACCTGGCATTGTTTTTCCCCTTCCACGGCAGACAAAGCGAAACAAATTGCCCAACTTCAGTTGCCGTTTCTGCTGCTGCTTTTCGCGCTTTAACACTTTTTTGAATGGGGAGCGGAGGGGTTATTAAATTGATGATGGACCCTTGAGTTATTGCCTTGCCTTGGTGACGACAGCTGCCGCTGAGAGGGGCAAATGGGGGAAGGGGGGATAAACTGGATGACCACCCAGCAGGCAGAAGAATCCCTGGAAAACGATTTAAGAAAATACATTTTAATTACGGCGCTCGAAAAGTGATGAAAATTACCCACAGAGCGGAGGAGCGAGGAAAAACAAAACGCGTTAATCAATAAATTGCCGCTCAGTGCAGCGATTTTCCTCCCATTAAAATGCATCCAACGGTGCGTATGAAATTGAAAATCAAGCAACACAGCGGCAGAGGAACCACCAGAATCAAATCCACTTGGAGTGGAGCTTGCAACTCGGAGTTCACAGAGACCACACGAATGGCGCCCCCATATGGAGATAGCCTCCTTTTGGTGAAGTTGTGAGGGCAGTGCTTTGATTTATCACTCACTGGGTAACTTGGAGTCGAGCCGATCTGTCTGCCCCTTTTGGCCAAGGCATTATTCTCTTGTTTACCAGAGGTTATTACACGGTGAATAAATATTTGATATCCCAACCTTCCATTTAAAAGAAGATAATTTGGATATGAGTAATAAACTGTAAATTAAAATAACAAGAGGTTACGAAAGATCATAAAATATTTTACTGAATTAAATGCTGTATTATAGGAAAGCAACATATTATATTAAAAATCGTTTACATTATTATTTTGACAAACCTTCATATTCTTATAATCTACTATGATCTTAAGAAACCTCTCAGCTAATAGTAATTTTTCTACTGTGTATTAACTGCGGCTTTGATTGATGCCCCCACACATGCACCGGGGAAAAAAAGAGAGACCCACACATGACCACACCCAGAGACTCAGACGCCGGCCTTCGCGATCACCTTCGCCGTTGCCTTGGACTTGGATCTGGTATTGGTTGGGGTAGTGGTATTGTGGACTCAGGTTTGGTATCTCTTTTGGCCTTTGCCACGGTCATGGCCCGTTAATTGAAATATGTTTTGGCCAGAGATCAAAGGGATTGAAAGTGGCGTTCGGGCGATGATGATGATTTGATTAATTCGAATGGGAATGGGTCTTGGATGCAGTCGATAATGCAGTGATGATGGGCTCGATTCGGAACTAATTAAAACATTTTAAATAAAACACAAACGAAACTCACGGGCAGATCAACTTTTTCTGTGTGTGTCTGGGCTGGAAATACGTGGAAAATAAAACATTAAACAATCATAAAAATAAATACATTTTCCCACACTGTTGTTGGGCCAGCGACAACAAATAATAATAAAAACGAGAAGCAGTCGAAAAACTTTTGTACTACATGGAAATGTCATTCGCATAACAACAAAAGACAACGATGATGATGATGATGATGACAACAACAACAACAGCCAACAACCAACAACGAAACAACGCACAAAGTTTCAATTCTCCACCGCCCCAGCCCCTCCTTTAACCCCTTGGTGCCCCAGTTTGCGGCAAAGTTGGTGGCACCTTTGTGGGGCCTGCTGAGATAACAGCCAACAAAATGTTTGATGTACTTGAAAGTTAATGTTTTGTGGTGTCAACTTTTGCCTGGGCTCCATGGTTGGGTTTATGGGTTTGGTTTTTCGGTTAGGGGTTTTGCAATGGAGAGCGGCTTTTAATGGTCGGGGATTTTCTCTAATTTGCCTCGACAAAATTAGCCTTTATATTTTGGCTCTTTGGCTTGGCTAATCGCAAGTGCTGAAGTTGTCGGAGCAAAGTTTGACCTTTCACACGCTCCCCAGATTGCCAAGACCCTTCACCCAAAAACCCTCCTCTTACACACTTTTGCTTTCAAGGAATTACAACAACAAAATTAACAAGAGCGTTCGTTATCAAAAGAACTTTTAGCCGCCTCATTTGGGGCCTTCGAACTAAAGAGTCGGAAACTGAAAAATTGTTTTCCCACGCAAATTAACACTTGACTTTGTTTCCATATTTGCACAAGATGACTTCATTTTCTTGGGCGCTTTTTCCAACCACACTCCCTCTCCTTCTTTAAATATTTTATTATTGTTGACTTTCCACCGCCCGACTTCTCACCTCCGAAAAAGAAACACAGAAATTCGTGTCTCATCTGCGGTTGTTATAGATATTGTAGGTGTTTCAGTTGTAGTGCGTCATTGTCTCGAATTTAATGTGTTATTGGGTAATATTTACCGCTACGATTTTACAGTCACTAGCCATTGTGGATGAGCTGTCGGGTGACTCCTCTAAAAATTTTTATTTTCAATAGGTTCAAAGTCTAAAAATAATATGGTATATTCATAAACCAACTTACCAAAAAATATTTCTTACGAACCTAAATAGTCTTTCTACTAAACTTGTAAACAGACAAAAAATAAAAATATATAAACCATGCTTTATATAAACAAGCAAAGTAAATACATTCAATAAAATATATCTAATAGTTTTTTTAATAATTGTATATGTAAGTTTACAACAAGTTTTACTAATCTTTTTTTTTATCATTACCTTAAACTTAAATGCTCATAGCCGTAAATATGAAAAGGACGGCAAAACTTTGTTCAAGAGTTAAACAAACAACAACTTAGGTTCATATCCCAAACCCACCGTTTTGTAGAATTTATAACAGAAAAGTTAGAATCCCCTTCCGAAAAGCAGAAAAGTAATTTTTCACCTCTCGTGTGCAGTCGCTTTCAATAACACAGCATAATCCGCATGTCCAGCTGGGCTTATTGCTGCTCTCCTGACAAGCAGATGGACAAAGGACAAACCATCCACATACTCGCAGGAAATGGGGCGAAGCCAATACTGAGGGCAAACTTTTGTCGGCGACTGTGTGCCCAATCAAGACGAAATAAAAGCACAAGGATAAAAAGCTGGAAAAGCGACCTGCTCTCGGACATTTCACTTGCAATTGCAGGGAAGCACTCGAAGAAAATAAATTTAAACTCCTTGAGCAGAGGATTCACTCTCGGTTCATGTGTGTGTCCCAGGATTGGGAGCTCCGGAGACAATAAACTTGCCGCCACTGCAATTTCTCAGTTATTTGCTAGGGGGGGGAAAAGGCGGAAAATGGGCGGGTTGAGGGGGGATTGAGATATGATAGGAGTGGATGACACTCGTGTCAGCCATAAGCAGCCAGGATCAACTTTTCCCGGCTCCTTGTGCTCGCCTCTGTTTGCCTTGGCTCAACTTGGAAAATGGGATTTGAAGGAGAGCTTTGCTAGGATTTGTGCAGCAAATTAGCTTCATTAATGGATGACTTATTCCCGGGGGGGTGAACGAACCACTAGATTCTCATATTTTTGCATGCGATTCCAAGCAGCTGCAGTCGCTCAATCAGCGCAGAAATTTATTATGCTCCATAATCATTTGTCATCCTTCCATTTTTCCCATTTTCCCAGGCCCCTTCTTGCCCTCGATTTCCCCATCCATTTCCATTTGGCGCCCGCAGCGAGCGCATTAAAATTTTTCGCAACATTTTTCACGCATATTCAGCATCCGGCATTCAGTGTTCAGCACAAATGGAATGGCAACTGGAGCACGGGACACGCTCCATTTGACCAGCCACTGCAATGGGTTCCAGCACGGGTCATAAATATCCGGAATATTGTTAAGAATATAACAATTCTCCGCTCCCAGCACTAATGTCATCTGCCATTTCTCTCTATCTCCCGGCGCTTTTCCCCTTTCGCCGCTCTTGATACATTTTTATTGCGTTCGAGTGGCGAGTCGTCTCCTTTTTATGGATGTCCAAAGAGGTCAGCACTGGTTCAATATTTGAATAGACTGCAGCGGTAGGACCTTAGGGTTTTTGTATTTTAGGGGATTTATTTAATTTTATTAAGCATATGCTTGGAAGAGCAAGCTCATAAAACGATAAACAATAATTTATATTTATATAAAACACATCGCAGATTATCAAACGCCCTTCTTCACTCCTTACACACTTACACATTTATTGTTAAATATATTAAACTTCAAAATAACAAATCGTTTCAACATGAAAGCTTGAAATTAACTATTACCATTGCCTTTGTCACATCTTTCTACATTAAAGCTTTAATGTGTTAGCGTACTAAAAATAATGTCATTAAAATGGATTTTAAGTTTAGCAATGTTATCCTTCTTAGCTCCGGAACCCATCCATTTTGTAAAACCAACAAGGATTGGTTACTCCATTCCCCCTCTTTAAATAATTCAATAAATTTGCGCAGAGTTTTTTCAACAATGAAAAGAAATTTCTCTTTTTTGGTGCTTGCATTCTTTGGCATCGCCATAAGGGGAAAATCCATAATTCATGCATTCGCCAAATAAGAAAACGTCGGGAAAAAAGGAGCAGCAATGAAAACATTAACAAGCAGCAATAAAATATGAGCCAGCGAATGTAAATCGCTTTCCATAATTCATCGCGTTGACTCGACTCCGGGCTGCTGCCTGGTTCTCCGCCGTAGATTTCAGTGGAAGTGTCGTAAACCCATCGAAGAAGGCTGGGCCATCGTAAAACTAATGAAATTTCAATTCGAATGACGCGACAACGTCTCCGACCTGGGCAGCCTGAAAATTCCACGAAATTTTCGCGCACTCGCCACGCCAACGAAATTCATAAATTTCCTCGGACGACGACGACTCCCACCTTTTTTATTTTCCCAGGACAATGTTGGGCAACGGAAGCAGGTCCGGTTTTTCTCTGGGTCCTCGATGGACTGGCAACGACAGGTGAATTTATGATGAAGTGAGTCGTCAGCAGTATTCCTCTCACCTCTACCGATTTATTCCGAATCTCCTTCGTTTCCTAGGCAGGTCGCGTGTAAATTATGAAAACTGGTGATAAAAACGAAAGTAATTCAAAATCTTCGACGTGTGCGAGGGTTTATCGCCTTCAAAAAGGGAAAGGAATAGGGACCCACACACCTTCCACATCTCATCTCACTCCTTCGCTTCAGATTTATATCGCTGGATTTATGATCCTGTTAGCGCCACTGCACTTGCTTATCTCTGGGGTAGCATCATGTATAGAAAAATAACTTGTTTACGACCTGCAGATAGAATGAGTAAATGCCTTTCCCCGTTTTCACCTTTCATACCTTTCATTACCTGATTTTTACTTTTCATTCTTATGATTGTGGTTTAAAATGCATTTGGTTGTTACAAAAAATATTTGTCCTTTTTTTAAAAATCAATTTTAAAGTTTAACATTTATTTCGATTCAACTAAAAATTAAATATGGGCATCCCTAAGTACCCTTATTTCTTATATTATAAGCTTCCAATTGCTTTAAACACAATCCGACATATTTTAAGTACTTCTAATAAATATTGCAAAATATAATATTCTTCAAGCTAACAACAATATGTGTATGGTTTTTCATTTTAATAGGCTAAAAATGTACTATCTAATAATGTCCTGTATATGCTAATATACACATTATACGTAGCCCCATTTCTCCTCTCTAAGTGCACTCCCCATTTTCTAATGGTAATTAAAGCCATTTTCCTGTGACACGGCGACGCCATATTAATTTGAGCGGTCAGAAAACCGCAAATAAAAATGTCGCTTTTAATTTGTGTTTACGTTTCTTTATGCATTTCGCTCAATTAAATTGCACTTGAACCTGTTAGAAGTGGAAATGCCGCTGGTGACGGGCGGAAATGACTGTGACACGCGATTCGGCGATCAAAAAGTGCACTAACCCGTCCTTAAAACCCCGACCGGACTCCACCGACCACTTTAATTTGGTTTCGCATGTGCGCCCGCCTTTAAAGTTGTAATTAGGAATACTATCACCCTGGCGGCGGGGCACACCTTCCATTTGAAAGTGTTTGCTCATTGAGTGGGCGTGGTCACTATGTCCGTGGAGCTGCAATTACGAGAAGGACCTCCTTTCTCGTTACGTCGCGGAATGAAAAGATTCGCCGCCTTTTGGGGTTTGTTGTACTGTGGCTTTTATTTGCGGAATCTCTTTTGTTGGAAAAACTACGAGCCAGATCTCATTCCTAAATAGGACAGTGGAAAAATATCATTGTATACCCCAAGAATTTTATTCTCATTTACATTTAATTTTTGAAGTTAATAACTGCTTAGGGTAAACCCACAAAAACTAAAGGAATGTGTTTGTTAATTTATTAAATAAATTTCTTAAATTCCCACTTTAATATGCTTCCCTTTTCTATCTTATTTTAAAGAATATGTGACAAAAATTTAAATCAGCACGTATCGTATCGATTCTCCCAATGAATACATTTTAGTACCCTTCAATATTTTTCCCTTAATTACCGAGTCCTTTACCACCGTAGAGTCTGTTCCTCTATGCAAATTCCGCGCGCCCATTTTCTCTTTCCCGCTGTTTTTGTGGTCGGGAACGCTTTGTTCTCACCTCACAGCTCACACACATCTCATTGTTTCGTATCGGCGCTTTGTATCTTTAACAAAATTGCCAAACCGCAGGAAAAGCTGGAAAATAGAAGTGGGGGGAAAATCCAACCGCGTGTAATGTGAGAATCTGTCCGATGGCAGGCGCCCTATTAAGCTCAGAATCTAACCGCAAAGGGGTACGAATAAGTGGAAATCTAAACTTTTAACCCCACAATTCAAGAAGAAATACTCAATAGCTTTAATATTTATGCAAGACGGGAGTGTCTGGAATTTGTTAAGCGAATTAATTTCTTACAATTTTCCACACAATTAGACAGAGGGGAGGAAAACGCAAAGCCGCTGGCATTCAGATCCTTTTTCCTTCAGTCTCACACATGCAGTTGAGTTTGAAAGGCAAAGATACATTAGTATCTCGGGTTTAAGTAGCTCGACAGAACTTACTTGCTAGTGCAACCTATTTCATTTGCTATGAACTGGTAACCAGGAAGAGCAGCCATACGTGTGGAAAACTTTTCGCCGAATTTTATATTTATCTGTCCTACTTCCGTAAAGGGCGGTGAGAGGCGTGGCTGGGTTGCCCCCTTCTCCAAAAATAGGCGTTTTCATCGAGCGGCAGTCGTCGTCGTCGTCATCATCATAAAAAAACAAGGCGATGGCAAAAGTTTTTCAATTTTTGCTCCAACTTTAGCAGGCTGCCCCAGCTACGCCTCCTAGTCCTTAGCCCTCCGGTTGTGTAAACATTTGTAGTTTACTTTCAGTTGGCAGGCGGCTCGTAAAATCTGTCCGTTTCGCTTGAACTGAAACCGTTTTGAAACTGTCTCGTAACTCAGACCCGCAGGTTAGACCATCACCCGGCCCTAGAAAAGCACGGAACTTTGGGTTTGTTTTGCCAAAAAGGACCACCGATTGAATTAGAAAATTATGCTGAAAGTTATTTGGATTAAAGAAGAAGGGCCCTTGACTATTGAGAGAGAGAAAATTAGGTAATGGGATAGAAAATTACTCAGGCAGGAGGAGCACAAAGCTGGGGAATCGAGTGAATTTACTAGGGCATATAATAATAAGAAAACACAGTTTATTCCTCTGCAAATTAAAAGAAAACTTTGGGCCAGCCAATAGGTAGAAGAATTTGAGAACTCAATGGAATTCGATTAAGAATACAAAAAATAATGTAACGTATACAAAGAAAGGATAAAGTATTTTTATTTTAAAGAAACTTTTAATTCGTGAAATAATGGATATACTATATACGTACATAAGACAACTTATTGGTATTTAAAACTTTTTATAGATACCAAAGATACAACAAAATAAGTAATAGCAAAAATAAAAAAAGAAGTCCACGACAGTTTCCCATACCGGGAATTGAACCCGGGCCTTCCGGGTGAGAGCCGGATATCCTAACCACTAGACAATATGGGACTTGAAATTCGGCACGGCTAGTTAGTGTTTGTAAGTGTAACGTTCTATTTATTTGATTTGCTATTCCTTTTCTTGATTTCAAAAATAAAAACATAAGTTTATTATTTTCCAAACAACTGGAATTGTTTTAGGATGAATGTTTTCCCTCTATTATTTGTGTTAGGAAATGGTTTTTCAAAATTAAATAAATAACATAATTAAAACATTTAAACAGTTTATAATTAAAATTAAGTGGTAGAAAATACATTTGGGAAAAATAAAAAAACTGGGTTTAATTTTTAAAAAAAATGTCCACACAAGTGTTTCCCATACCGGGAATTGAACCCGGGCCTTCCGGGTGAGAGCCGGATATCCTAACCACTAGACAATATGGGACTTGATAACGCAGGTGACAGCTGTTATTATTCTACTTTCAGAGGTCCTGTCTAAATATAAATATCTTCTGATGAATCATTTTCAGATTTAATCTCTATGCTTTCTTATCTCGTCTTCATTGGAATCGTCAGAATAGTGTCTATTGCAACGGGAAAAAATAATAACTGGCTGGAAATCTATATATCTTTTAATTACCCAAATTCCAAAATATCACTGTCGTATCGGGAGCTGCACAAGATACACAAATTGTTGCACTCTTGAAAGCACATCCTACAGTAGATTCCATTACAGGTTGGCAAATCACAAGGAACATTATCGGATCTGCAGAAAATAAATATGATTAAAGTAACTTTTTATAAAGTTTAACCAACTAACCTGGTAAGCTGTTTACTGCAAATAGTGCACGATTGACCAATCAAAGTTCCTCGGAAACCACTAAAACACCTGGAAGAATTGAATATCAGTAATTCTTTGACATTATGTAGTTAAGAGCTTACCATTTTTGACGAGAATTCCACCAGCCTATGCTGGATAAAATTCCTTTGTTATAAATAAAAGCGTTTAATAAACGAGCTCGCTGGCACCTAGAATTAAATACAGTTTCTAAAAAACAAGTAATGGGTCAATTTGTAATATCTCTAAAAACTTCTCACTTCTTTCCTTCAGTATGGTATAGTGCAAGTCCTGAGCTCTTCGACTTGATTCCTCTGGATAAAAATATGCCATAATACGGTGTCTTTGACGGAGACCATATGGCTCCCAAAACACCATAAGCCAGGCTAATAAATATAGCAAAAAGATCCATAAATATCGGATGTATTTTGGCTTCCCTGGGACTGGAAGACATCTTCGGGTATTCATTTTAGAGGTTCTCGGCTCAAATGCGTGAATAAGCTCTCGTAGAATGTCACCAATTTTACCTCCGCCTTTAATAACAATTTTCTTGTAAGCGGTAGCTGTGGAATAAATATTTTAAAAAAATATTTGGCAAGGTTTAACCTTACGTTTTAGATCAGCAGTCATATGGCCATGAAAGGACATCAACATCAGTAAACTATAAAGACTATAGTCCACAAAGCATATACAGAAAAGCTGGATTCCTGTGATTATCAGAAAAACACAGGAGCGATACATTACAGAGATCTCTTGGGGCAGAAGTCGCATCGAGCTTATCTTAAGATTAATATGAAAAACTGTAAATAAATATATTTATATATATATAAGTTTAAAATTTACCTTCACATATTGATTCTCTTCACAATTGCTCAAGGGTAAGGCCCTCACTTCTTTTACTTGATAGTGTTGCTCATCAAAGCTTTCGAAATCTTTCGTTATATAGACATTTTCAAAGTTTCCATTCGCCAGGAAGCGAAACCAAAAATACACGGATTGGAGGATAACCGTGAGCAGAAGAATAAAGATAATCAAGTCAAGCCAAAGGGAAACGAAAAAGAACTTAAGCCTCTGCGACTCCAAATGCTGGTTTATATCCTGTTCGTGTAAATGATCTTTGGTATTGGTTAGTAAGCTCGTGGAATTAAATTTCAAACTATGATCAAAACTAATCGTCGTTATAAAAATAAATCGGATTTTAAGAAAGCATAACTGCAAACCTGTAAAAATTTAAAGTTGTAATCAGTTTTTAATGTGTTTCTAAACCCACGTTGAAATATTTCCTCAATAACCACTTGAGTCCATTGAAGATTGTCGTTAAAAAAGGTTTTCAGAGTATTAAGACTAACACAGAACCAATTAAAGAGTTCCTTGTTACAACAGTCTTTTGTTTCTTCGCCAAATTCACTTTGGCACTGTGTAATACTTAAGTTTCCTGCTTTCATGCAGCGATTATAGGGAGTACCCATCTTGTAGTCAAAGTGATCCTTCTGCAGGCCCAGCCAATCTACACATATCTTATAAGTGTCGTCTAAGGAAAACAAACTTCTTTAAATGAAACCAAGAAAGCAATTAAATACTAACGTATCTTAGCGATGGGTCTCTCCAGATTTATCAGAAGCTTATTTAATTTGTTCATGAGCTTGCGCACATCAGTCAGCGTTCCTTGAAACGACTCTTCCACAGAATGAGATGGATCATATATAATACGTTGCATTAGCCTCAAAGCCAGAATAAGTACATTTTGCCCGCAGTATAGAGTGTTCGCCAAAATGCAGATGTTGTGAATTATATTTTTTACGGGTCCCAAACAAGCCATTAAGAGAGCTAAGGCAATAATCACCGCTCGAAATTGGTAACTAGGCAAGCTTGAAAAGCATAGAGCGGCAATGCATCTGCAAAAAAGAAATCAATAGCTATTTAAAAGCGTTCTTAAGCCAACCCACCTAGCTGGACGTCTTTGAACCAATATCAACAATACAAGAAAGAGCACCACAATAAAAATCCATTTGAGATTTAGATCACTGCTTGCCCTTTGAGGATTTTTGTAGTACCAGATCAGTACCAATAATATTCCAACGACATATCCTGCGATAAAATAAAGCAAAGAATTTCCTCGACATTTCGAAGGTGTTATTTGGCCATTTTCTGCAAAATTACATTCCGGTTGAGGATCCCTTGGATCCTCTGGTGGATTCAAACGATAAATGGGAGCGTCTCCCTCGGGACTTGGGTTTCGACATTTTCGGTACTCTGGCTCTTGATCCGGCTCAAAGTTGATATTTCTTTGTACCAGCCCTGGGGTGTTGGTAGAAGAATTCTTATATGAATTAAAAACTCCTTTATTAGTCTGGGTCACTGAAAAATCCTCGTCGACTTCAGACGGGTATTTTAGAGCACTCCTTCGTGTTCTATCATGCTTTTCAGCCTTTCTATTCATTCGGTCCTTTAATTTGTACATTATCACCCACAAAATAATGTATGTATTTTATATAGCTATAAGCGACAGAAAGGTCAAAGAAACCTGAGGCGAGCTAGAATTTTTTTCATAAGAAAGTTTCTAAATATTTTGAATTAAAAAAAAAAGTATGTAACCATATTTCCCATACCGGGAATTGAACCCGGGCCTTCCGGGTGAGAGCCGGATATCCTAACCACTAGACAATATGGGACTTAAAATTGTCGTATTATCAGTGTTGCAAAACGATGTAGATATTATTAGTACAACATTTAAAAAAAGTTTTTGAAAGAAAAGTGGCCTAATGATATATATTATATATTTTATGTACCCTTGCAGCTGTTAAAACAATGAATTTTTCGACCAATTTTATAAAGAAGAAATGGTATGTGAGGAAGCAACGATTGTTTCTTAATAGGCCAATCAGTCCTTTCAAAAAAAGATATTAATTCCATATTTCCCATACCGGGAATTGAACCCGGGCCTTCCGGGTGAGAGCCGGATATCCTAACCACTAGACAATATGGGACTTAAGTTTCTTGTATAATCAGTGTTGCAAAACGATGTAGATATTTTTAGTACAACATTTAAAAATAAGTTTTGGAAAGATAAGTGTCCTAATGATATTTATTTTATATACTCTTGCAGGTGTTAGAATTATTTGATACAGTCGTCCGATTTTTATAAAGATCAAATAGTCATTCAAAAATCGTTCAAAAATAACAATATCTCAGAATTTATGTTAAGAAACAACAAAGTTATACATTTTATTTCCCTTCTTTCCGATGGTTCCTTAGTAGGCCGATCAGGGTCTTTCCTATAGGTCTGCAACGGAATAAAGACTTTTCCCAAAGTTTCATCCACAAATAGATTTAAAACTGAAGGACTATATAGTTTGCGTAGAGATGGACGGATAAACGACCAGACGGACATGTCTAGATCTACTCGTCTGGTGATGCTGATTAAGAATATAGATACATACAAAAAATGTATATATTCCATATTTCCCATACCGGGAATTGAACCCGGGCCTTCCGGGTGAGAGCCGGATATCCTAACCACTAGACAATATGGGACTTAATGTCTTCAGATAATCAGTGTTGGCTAACGACAAAAAAAATTCTAAAAAATTTTAAAGAAACTTAAATATCAAAGTACAATAAAATCCTTAATTTCTACATAATTCTTTGAGTTATTAGTCGTTCCCTATTACTTCGTAAAAAAAAGGTTTAGCCATATATTTCCCATACCGGGAATTGAACCCGGGCCTTCCGGGTGAGAGCCGGATATCCTAACCACTAGACAATATGGGACTTAATGTCTTCAGATAATCAGTGTTGGCTAACGACAAAAAAAATTCTAAAAAATTTTAAAGAAACTTAAATATCAAAGTACAATAAAATCCTTAATTTCTACATAATTCTTTAAGTTATTAGTCGTTGCCTATTACTTCGTAAAAAAAAAGGTTTAGCCATGTATTTCCCATACCGGGAATTGAACCCGGGCCTTCCGGGTGAGAGCCGGATATCCTAACCACTAGACAATATGGGATGTGGTGGGGATGCCGGCAGAGTTTCTGGACTAGCTGTCTCGAGAGCTATAGGATCTGTGTCAGTGTTCTTGTTCCTTAGGCTTACACCTGTCGACATTCAATTTAAAATCTGCTCCTCGTGGGATTCCCGCACAGCTTTTAAAATTTACTGTAATGAGGGGTCAACTTCATATAACCTTTTTCGGAATTAATTAAAAACCATTCAACACTCGGCACTGCCAGTTGCATTCGTCGATGCCCACGACTCGACGGACTCCAGTGGCTGGGAATGAGGCACATAATCATCAATTATTCGCACAATTACCGCAAACAAATAAATATTCTTAATTTATTGTGTTTTCGAATCGGGCTTGGCCGCCCACAATGGCAACGGGCGGCGAATGCAGACGAAAAATCGCTACGAAAAAATATTAAAAATAAATTTTCAACCCGAAACAACAAACACACAAATTTCGGAGGAGCAGACGAATGGGGATGAGGGGCAATGGGCTTGTTGGATACTGCGGTATTGAGATTGATGTCCATAAATTAATTCCTCGCCCCTCCGCCTCCTGGCGCTGCCGTTTTCATTGTATCTTTTTAGTCAGTCTGGGTGTCGAGCGATAAATTTCATAGATGCATTTGGTAATTTCAATTTGTTTTAATGTGTCGCCGCTACTCTATATATAAAGCACATATAGCACATATAATTTGAGGTTTATTGGCCGTACCGTGGCTTTGCTTTTCTATTTTCGGCTGGCCTCGTGGGATGTTCAGTGGCAGCAGCCTCAGCATAGCAATTGTCGCTGCTTATCAGAGGGTGATATAGGAGGAGCAAAGCGGTAGGTCTTTTGAAGTTGTCCGAAAGCGGAAATGTATCTCTAGCATTTCTTGGAAGATCTATAAGCTTGCATTGGTGTGCACTTGGAGAAAAGTTATATACAACTTGCAAAGAATGCATTTTGTTTTTATAGCGAAGTTTATTTCAGACTTTTCAATTCACTGTTGCCTCTTTCAGCCGTTCTATGACCTTGCAACATTTTACTCATTGATCACAGATGATGAAAAGCTTAGGATAGTCTTAGCAGCTTCTTTTGTTTTTCTTAGTGTCGAAAAGTTAGGATAGCCTTCAGCTTTCCTATAAATCAATTTCCGCCTTTGGCTCGTTTTTGGGCAAACATTTCCCGAATTTCCACCGAGGGATTTTGGGGAGCTTAGGCCTCGTGGCGCCATCGCTCGTTTGAAGGGATTAGAGCATGGGGCTTTCTATCATAATTAATAAACTGTCGCTAGTTGTATTTATTTGTATCTGTCCGTGATGTGTCGTGTTTTATTTCCACATAAATTCGGAACTTCCACATGTAGCAGTCGTAAAATAAAGTTATTTCGGTTCTGTCATCAGCGTGGCTCTCACCTCACCTGAACCCGCCGGTAATCGCCGTTTAGAGCTGGCTTCCTCTCCACTTGGGTGTCCAAAATTTGTCGCACGATGAGGAAAATTTCGTTTGAATGGTTTCCGCAATGAAGCGACAAAAGTGACAGCCATGTCGGAGTTATTGCTCTTGGACTTGCAGCATTTCCCCGAAAATGCGGCCCATAAAGTGAGGGAAAATCATAGCCAGCAGCCAAAAGCGGGGAGCTGCAATGTTGCCGTTGCCCAATCTTTTCACGTTTTGACCACTTCCTCTGCCCCAGCCATTAAACTGCAACTGGTCTTCGCTCTTCGGACTCGGACTTCATTTCTTTTCATTAGCCGCCCGCACCGACGGCCATCTACGGACGGACCAAGTCATAAAACGGAACTGGTTACTCCGCGTAACTCTCGCGCTGGTAGAAGGTATACAACTCACTTGATTACTTGCCCGCTGGCCTGGTCTTTTACTATGTAATATATGTGTTACTGGCACAGACGGACTGCGGCACTTTATTAATGAAAAGCGCAAAAGTTCTTTCTATTTTCCCAGCCCTTTTACGTGCGTGGAGCGCGTGTGTGTGGCCTGCATCGAGGTCAGTCGGAGATTTGTTAACCGAAAGTGAGCGGTTTCTGCAACGGGCCAAATGAAATGGCCAAAAGACTGGACACGACCGCCTGTCGCGATTATGAGGAAAGTTCGTCTGCGAAAAGGTCGGCAATTAGAGAGAGTTTTTTCTTTTTTTTTTTTCTTCTAAACGGTGTTTTTAGATGGGCTAAAAGGGGAAAGAAGTGGATAGACAGATAGTCAAGTTAACATGGGAAAGAATATCATTAAGAAGTGGCGGACTTTTAGGTAGAATAATGTCACGTAGAATAATTCCGAGAATAAGAATATTTAGTGAAAGTACAGCAGTTCCCACATGACAAATTTAACAGCAATTAAAATATATTTGGTTTGATCAGAGTTCGTTTGCATCATTGTTTATGTTAAACTCACAGCTATAAACTGTTCATGAAATCATAAAATAACTCAGGCATTGGCTGATCTGCAGATCTCCTCCAGGGGTAAGACCTATAATCCCTGCATGGGGCAAGTGCAATGTAACCGAAACTGAAATACGAAATACCCAAGGAAACCAAAAAAAAAAGAAGTGGATCCATTGGTGGGGATTATTTCAAGACACCCACCAGCGAGGGAATTTCGTGCTGGCGTTTCTGCCTTTGTTTGCTGGGACCTATTCTGCTTTTTTTCCCGGCTGACAAGTCGTTGGCATCTCTGGCGCATGTTAATTATGCCAGCGGACTACCTTTGCTCCCCCGAACTCCCCCCTGGCCGTCCAAAGCTCAAGATGTGGGCCGTGGCCACGGCGAAAAGACCTTGACTCTCGCCAAGATCTTGATACGATTTATACAATTTTTGATTCATGGCGTCTCCGCTGTCGCTTGGTCGCTATCTTTGGCGACTCGCAAACCGAATTAATTTCGTAGGCAAGGCGTGTTGCCATATTTGTCGTCGCGAGAATTTCGAGTTCGAAAATTTGAATTCAATCAGCAATTTGCATAAATTTGCAGGCGCGCAAAAAGAAGCTGCTTAGGCCCTAAAAGGTGGGATTAGCCGGCCGCCCACGGAATTCCCTCCCACCCAAAAAAAAAAATCCCCCCGAAAACGTAAGACGCCGTTATGGGCCGGTGACCCAAAGTGTGGCGGCTAATGGGACAGCCAAGTGACAATCTGGCCAAGAAACATTGGTAGGTGTGGGCCGCTGATTGACTGACTGATTGACTGATTGACTGACTGACTGATGGACTAAATAGGGCCCCCACTTGATCTAGCCCCTCCTCCTCCCCGCCATCTTATCAGACCCACAACAGACTGGTCCAAACATTTGCAAATTGTTTCGCTTTTGGCTTTTGTCGCGCGGACCACCAAAATAGATTGGCCAAATGGGGGAGGTGGGCAGAACGCATCTGTCTGAGATATCGTACGATTTTGTATATATAAAACAAGATTTATTTTGGTTTTTCAAAACTGAGAAAGTTTGAATGCTCTACACAGACGGTAATTTATTGTGATTTTGCATTAACATGTTAACATAATATATTACTAAATGCATGTCTCATTTGTTTGCTATATTTATTGAGTGAGAAAGTTTAATGCTGTATCTAAAATGCAATATATTAACATGTAGCTAATGACAATTACATTACAATTTAATCACATACGATTTTCAAATCAATATTAACAGATGGTTATTTTTTATGAGATGCAATTAAACTTAATTAATATCGTTTATGTGTTTATGTTTTTATTTATTATTAAAGGCCAATAAAAACTTAGTGCTGTGCTAGTCATATACTTATTTTTTAGCAGCCTTACCAACTTCGCTGATCATACTCCTGCCAATAAGGGTATCTCTATAAATATCGTGCTGCTGCCACTGCCGCCGCTTCATTTCAGTTTCTATTTCGGGCTGATTCATTCTCGTCCCATTCTCGTTCAGTGGGCTGATGCTGATCGTCGCCCCGTCGTGGTTAAAATGCTAAATTTAAATGCCCAAACATCCATAACGACATTCATGAGGATCGGCTGGGTGCACCTTCCTCCTCCCTCTTCCCCCCTCGCTTTTCACAATTCCCAGAATTTATTCGTATTAATTATCCTGCATTAGTTTTTAATGCGTCGACGGTAGAATTAAAGCCATCGTAAAGCTGACAAATATTTTATGGCGAATGCGAGTGTGAAAAAAAACGCGCGACAAATTAATGAATTTATGGGACACTTTAGGGGGTCTCTGCATTATGGCCACCTGTCTGGTCTGGTCTGGCCTGGTGGGGAAAATGTTTTTGGATTTAAATCGTTTTGAGAATCGCCGGGCGCCAATCGGTCACGCCACTCCCCATTTCGCGTGGGCGATTTTCAACACGTTTTCCGAGCCAAATACCCAAAGAGCTCTCGTACGTTATTCTCAAAACAAAGAATGAATGTTTCTTGGAATTTGGTTTATTTTCGAGCAGATGAAAGCGATTCGCAAAGTGTTTTGTTTGTTGTCACACATCGAGTGCATGATAGGGAGTAGCAAAACCTAGGGATACCAGAGGGACCGGTACAGTGGGGACTGTCCACGTGGCTGGCTGGGCTGGGTGGCGTCCCTCCATTCGCATTCCTCGACTCCAACGAAGAAGACGTCTGCGACATCCTGGGAAACTGTGTGGGCGACCTCGGAGGTGTGTGTAGGATCTGTGTATAACTCTGGTCCCGGACAGCCAAATCAACTAAATCAAATCGAGAACCGGCCCGACCTGAACACCAAACTAGTTCTCTCCCGGGCGCCAATTTAGCTGGGATGCATCCCATTATTTCTTGGGCTGTCGCCGTCTGATCTACAACTTTTGTTGCTTTATTGGCCAGCCAATGACCATATTAATTGTTTTAGCATTTAATGGTAATATCTTATTTAACAGGCTTCTCAAAGAAATTACTCACAAGCTAAAGTGTAATCTTATACTTGAAAATGTTAACTAATATTTCTGAAAAAACTAAGCAACTATCTCTGTTGATAATCCAGCAGAGAGATGATCGGTCTGATATTGGATGCAAACTTGCAACCCCATTTATTAGCCAACTTTTCATGTGTTAATTTTCCCGTCTTAATATTGCTGCTGTTGTTGACCGCACGCGTTTCCATAAACAAAACACCAAAAACTTGAGGCAAGCCACACCAGAAACCAAACAAACAAAATGCAGTACACAACGAAACGCGTGGCAGTCGCAAGTTTTCCAAAATCAGGTGCGGTTTAATGATTATAGCAGAGATCTGATTTCTCAACGATAAAATTGAGATATTCTATATTGGCATTGATTTAAAATGAGTTTAAATTTGTCAATTGAAATATTAGAAATTCTAAATAAAACTATGATAAGGTGTTTATGGCAAACTATCCATTTAATTTTCAAAGAAAGTATTACTAAACCCCCATCTGGCCCACTCCGTTCCTGTTTCTGGAACCATCTCCTTGGCTATGTTGCACCTCCTAGAGGAGTTCGTCTATTTGTTTTCCAAACAAGCCTCTTTCGCAGACAGGCAGGCGGGCAGATGCAGCTCCAGCTTCACTCCCCTCACCCAGCAGTTCAAGTGCGTTCAATTTTCAATAAATCCATAAAATTTAGCTTCGCTCCCCGCCAGCAGAGAAACCACAGCAGCCCCAACCTCGCTTTTCCTCCTCCTCGCCTGAGTTACTCGGATGTCTGGGCCAGTCAGTCCATGGCTGCATTTTTGTTTTGGTCTGTGCGGAGTAAACAATGCACCAACAGCAGTCGAGATGGAGGAGCATATAAAGGGGGCAGGAGGAACTGGAGGCCAGGAGTTGGATCCACCACATGCCAGATGAGTCACGGGACTATGGAGTAAAAGCAAGAGTAATTGGTTTTTAGACTTCTAACAGGTTTAAATTGTTAATACATATTTTTGGTTAACAAGATTAACTTGGTTTTGTTGTCTATATTTTGCACACTAAATTAATCATCAGTTTGAAAATGAAGACTACTTTTACTTATTACACATTTGTTATTAAATACTTTATACCTTACTTTATTGATAAGTAAGGAAGACATTTAATTTAATTTAAAGGAATAATTATATAAATTATTGTATTATATTTAACCAGCACCACTGTGCCATCGACAAGATTGTTGTGCCAGTCGGAAGTTAGTGAAGTTTCCACTGTCTATTCACAGACTTTTTCCCTTCACTCTGGACCATCGAAGACGTGAATACTCCGCATCTGTTGATTCTGCGGTCCCTGCGCAGCGTCATCTGCAACTCATCATTTTCTGAAATATTGCTCTTTTGCATACCTGCAGCCGTCTGCGTCCATTTCAGCAATTGTTGTTTTCGCCGGGTTAACAGAACTTAATTCCGAGCGATCAGACGGAGTTGGAAAAAGGAGAAGGAGGTTGAGAGGATTTCAATCAACTGGCGGACGCCACCGCAGACATAATTTATTGCCACTTTTCGCAACGATTTTCATTTCTCGCATTGACTTTTTTCTTAAGTGTTCAAAGGAGGAGATAGTGCAGGGCGGAACTAATTGATTGTGGGATGCTCCAGGAACTGTTCACCTCGCCGGGCGAAAGTTAATTGGCCTGGTCCAGACAGTCGGACACGGAGCACAGGTACTTGGCCACTTAAGTGCGCTTAATTAATGCAAACCGAATTCCCTCGATAGATTGCGAGGGGCAATTGTTTTGGCTGCAGGATTTGAGTCGCATTAGATGCGCATCGGGGGTAACAAGCGCGTCGCCTGTTCTTGGCCAGGATCCCTGGCAAGTAAACCACTTAATCCACATCGCAAATGGCCAAGTGTTGTGCAATTCCCGCCTGCTTTGGCTGCCTCGGCGGGGTGTGGATCGTAGGATATAGTAATTCACTAAAAGGAAGAGTTCATGGAAAAAGTAGGGTTTTCTTTTACTATATAATATATGTGTATCAAAACCTAAAGATATATTATTACTAACCTCTTATATTATTGAAATATTTACTATTTAAAATATGTGTATCAAAACTATTAAAATAAATAATATTATTGGGCTAAACAGGTCAATCTGTTCAGTGAGGTTTATTAACCTGTTAAAAAAGTACATTAATATATTAGTGTAATAGCTATATTCATCTTGTTTTTCGAATTGAAAAATGTATACTTAAAATAACATAATATGATAAAATACTACAAATAGCATAAAGAATATATGAAATATATTAATATTAATAATATGGGCATGTTGAATATATGAAAGTTGAATATAGGAAAGAATATATGAAATATATTAATATTAATATGATAGGCATGTTGAAATTAGATAACTGATTCTTACCATATCATCATCTTTGCAGCCAGGGCATTAAACCTTCGGTTTAAACCCATCTATTTGCTGCGTGGGTTGTTTTCTCGCTGTTGAATGTTTAGCAGTTGTTGTCAACTGACACCGTCAGTGACTTTTGGTGACCAAAGTGGGTGCAGTCCGGGGCGGAGGAGCCGCCAGTCTGGATTATCCTTTGTTGGGCATCGACAAGCAGCCAGCGAGAGGCTGAACATGGAACCGAACCGCTTCGTGTTGGATTTCTTGTTTTCACTCCACCCGCACTGAGCCACGCACTTTTTCGCTGAGCTTAATTGCGAGGTGTTCAAGTGAACTCTGATTGCTGCTGCTCCGAATCGGCTTCCTACTCCTTTGCTCCTCTGCTCCACCAGATTCCTCTCCAGCTTCTTTTCGATGGCGTTAATTGGGCAGCCAGAGCAGCAGCAGGCGAAACATTTGCTGCCACTTTGATGCCCTGCCGATGATACTCCAGCAAACTGCGACTTCAACAAGCTGCAGTCCCGAAAATTTGCATTTCAAGCAGCCCGCGATTTATGGCCCAGCCTTTGGGATCCGGAAGATATCGGTGGAGCTACAAGGGGTTGCTGTGACGAATCCAATTATGAGGCGCGCCAGCTGAAGGATTGGGGATGGGATGGAGATTGGGGATGGGGATCCAAGAGGAGGCTATTCCAGCCCTGACGGGTGCCATGTGCCTGATGCGATAATGCGCCATCAAATGGCCATAAATAAAGCGCACAAAGCGGATTAAGCGTTTTGTTAACAGATTTATATTGAGCTGAATTATGAGCCAGCGGCGAGGCTGAGATTTAATGAGTCTCTCCCCCGAGATGGCAATGAGATCGGGATCAATGGAATTAACTCGAGCTTATAGTTCCCTCGGGTTGTAGGGTGAAGTGATTGGGAGAAAGTAAGTAAGTCTACATTACTCCAATACCCACCATTTATGTTTGATAATTTGTCATAGTTTGTCCTTTAGATGCTTGCAAATTTATATTGAATTTAATTAAAATTAATTATTATCAACCTTAAAATTACATTTAACTTTGAGCCAAAGGCTGTAAACATTGTCTTAAATGTGATAAAATTGTTTTACTCCTGCATTTCTTTCGCCCAACTGTCAATTCATCCCCATATGTTTTATTTCTCAAGCTGCGTTTATGAAATCCCTGTTAAAGTTGCTGTCACTTCCATTTTGCTGGCTTCCATAGTTACAGAAACCCGGAGGAGAATATGAATTAGAATTGATGGCGAATGGTAAACAAGACTTTATGCAGATATTTGTTGATAAATTCATGAGACCTTCGCTTCGGATGGGAAATAAAATGAATGAACACTGAAAGTTGCAACACCGAATGTTGAGCTGCATAGTTGTGCTGCTTGCCAAAAATATTTATGCTGGAAATTCGAGCTGTTATCGATTGTGGAGGACATGCATATTGTATTTGCTTCTTTTTCCGACCATTTGTTTATCGAATTTAAGTGCTCCCCAAAGGGGGGTTGGAAAAACCTGTGACATTCTGGGATGTGTTTGTCTATTTTTTTGAGGGGACTGAGAGATGGCATACCGGGTGGATGGTCACTTAAAACCTGGCCAAAACTTACAGCAATCGAAAAGTAAGGCAACCAACAAAAAATATTCGGAACAAAAAAAAACACATAAAAACCCAGTTGCAAATTGCCCCCGAGGGCAGGCAATGGCAAATTGAGGCTGCCGCTGAAGAAGCCGCCTCACCTGGCCGAGGAGGAGGTACCTGGAGTATCTGGAGTACCTGGGAGGTGGGGAGGATCATCCTCATCAGTCGATCGACGAGTGGCAGCCGCGTGCTGAACTCCAAAGCCCAGAAAAGGAAGGAGGCGACTGGAGACTGGAGACGTCGGCATTTGGCCTGAGCGTCGAATTAAGCAAATTATGGTGGGCCCCAATGATCGATCCGAATTGTGGCCTGGACCCCCCTCCTTACCCCCGCCCCTGTCTCTGCGGCAGATGCTGCAATTTGCCTTAATGCCCAGGATTATGTTCGAAGCGACTGCGAAAGCTGCAAACTGTTGACTCTTTTTTTGCCGTATCCACTCAAATTGGCGCATGTAAATTTTTGGAGTCTGCAAAAGTCGCTGAACTATAGGGTCAGGCATATGGATTGGCAACAAGAGTTAGCAAAGGTTCCAAAAAAGTTAAGTTAAAAATTATGATAATATTATGTAAAGAGGACAAAAAAAGATACATTAAAAATATGTGTACCTATTTAAAACATTTTTAAAATGGCATAAATTTAATAGCAGTTACTTATGACTACTAAAACTGCTATACTGTGGCATCTCTAAAGGAAAACATTTTTGAGAATTAAGAAATTATCAGAAAAGATTGTCTGAGATTGTTAAAAATATATATAACTCAGATATAACTCAGTTTTTGTTGCCTTAAACTTCGAAAATTCTGCAGACAAATGTTTTTGTAATAACAAGCTTTAATACAACTAATTATCTTTAAAAGTTTTAAGAAATTTATGCACTTCCAGATTTTTTCAAATTTTTGGTTTATAGAAATCATATGTAGGGAATTCTGTGATCAACATTTTCCAGTCATATTCTTCGATTCTCATTCGTCCTGTCTCCTGTATTTTGTCTCCTTCTTGTGCTCCTTATTTCGCCTGACGCTGACATTTGTGTGTGCGCTGAAATATTTTTTGAATGCAGATTTTTCACTTAAAATTATTTCAATTACGCCAAGTGCAGGCCAAGGAGCCAAGAAGGAACCCGAGGATTGCGACTTGGCTTTTTTGTCGACTTGTCCTCTTCTCCGAATGGCAGCTGCTGCAGTTCAGTTGTCGCTTTCGGAACTTCAGCTGCAAGTAGATTAAATGCCGCAACCGCAAACAGACAAACTTGGTCAATTATTTTCAACGGCGGACACAAATTATTGATGCAGGCCCATCCCGTCCCGCCCCCTGGCCACTAAAAGGCAGGACGAGGGGATTGGGAACGGGTTGCAGGAGCCTGGAGTTTTAAAAGCTGCCCGACCAAACCGCATCATCAATCTGGGGAAGACTCCTTCGTCGTCGTCGTCGACGTCTCTTCTCGAGTGAGAGAAACGGAGACAATGGGCTCACCTCCCTACCCGCTTTTCTCGCAAAGGTCTTCATTAAATTAGTGAAATGAGCAAGTCGACGAGGATTCAGCTGCAATTCAACTGGAGGTGGCACACTCCAAAAAATATGGACCCGAATAAAGCAGGAAATTTAAGTACTTCATTTCAGAAAAACTTTGTTGTTTTCTTTTTATGACTTTTAAAAGTAATTCCATTTGATGGTAGAGAATATCACTTTATGAAAAGAAATGACATCCACTTCTGTTTTTTAACCCAAAATATTTAAAAGTATATATTAATAAATCAAATTCTTTTGTTTCATTAAAATGATAAATAAAATGTTGTTATTATTTAATCATTTATTTCCTCACACAATTTCTATCAAGAAAACAATTTCTGTAATTTAGATTATTTACCTTATACTTTTAGTTTACCTTAAAAATTAATTCCCATTTTTCGGAGTGCACTATCTTGATGTAGCTTAAACCTCTTAAGATGTGTTTTTCATTGAGGAACCCCAGAAGGTTCGCATCTCCGAGCAGCCGCTTTTAATGTCACAAATATTTGTTGTCAACTGTCAATTGAGTTGGACGCAGTGCGATACTCGATACTGGATACCAGGTGATTCGAATCGATGCAACTAGTGACGACTTAACGAGAACTCGAGGTGATCCTCTATGCTCCTCCGAGATCACAGATCCCCCGCGTTCTCCCTCGTCGATCTGCGATTGAGGAATCGCAAATGGCTTGCTAAATTGGCTCAACTTGCTGGGTGGGTCGAATGTTCGATTGAACCATCAATGTCTCATCAAAATGCGCACGGTTTGGGTGGTGCTGTGGTTGGCAATTGGGGAGTCACAAGCGTAGCTTGCAGCTATTGAATTACCAAAACATCGAATACAAGTTTACAATTTCATTTTCATTCAATGCGAAATCCAAAACCAAAACAGTGACCCCCTCTACCCCTCTTTCCACCACTGCTAATGGGGCCACCACACGATGGGGCAATTGCCAGAACAGAACAATGTCCAAAGCTTATGGCTAGTTTCTGTTTTTGTTTGTTATTAATTTCTGGCACCGTCTCTGAAAATGTTGGTCTATTGATTGCAGCCGTTTTAGCTGATTGGGGAATTAGCATCGCATTTTGGGGCAGTTTTTACCTCCGATTGGAATTCAAATGAAGTGGTTTTCCGTGGGCTTGATGCCAAACTTTACACATGTTTATTTCCATTGCTACATGACTTTTATCAGGGAAAACACTAAAAATCCACAAAATACAAACATTTAAAAGTGCTCTTCAGTTTGGTAATTTATTGAGTTAGAATTCTCGTTTGGAAATTCTTTTAATAATTTGATTTGGATATATAGTATGTCTTTAAGCTATGGTTTGGCATTAAAACTAAATAGGCAACTCAATGGAGGAGTCCATCAATTAGATAGCAACCCAAACCCGATCCTAAGTCTTTGATGTGAGCCAGGCTCAGTTCTTGAAAGGCCCATCTCCACTCCTTTGGCATTGGCATAAGATAAATGTTGGGACTTACGAGCTAAGAGTATTTTGAGCGATCCCCTCTTGAAGTGGGAGCCAGGATATCCGATAGATATGTCTTTTGAGCACACTGTCCTGGGGAAAGTCTTACCGACTAGTGACTAGACTAATACATAAGAGGAGACATATGAGCGGGATGCAGTCTTTTTGCTTCTGTCTCGGATCATCCCATTCCGAGGTCATTCAATAGGTGCTGCCTGATCACCTGACCCTCTTCCTCCGCCAGCAACTGGGCCGTGATCGTGTTGACCAGGTTGAAGGCGATTCCGAAGGCGCTGAATAGGCACCATACGCCCAGGGCCAGCCAGCGAAGGGGGCGTGGTCGTAGCTCACCATCCAGCTGCCGGAGGAGCAACAAACCCACACTGATCCCGGCCAGAGCTCCGGTCATGTGGGCGATATAAGAGACCGAGGGTCGCGTCTGTAAATGCTGCACTGCCAGTTCCCGAGAGTACAAAGCGTAGCCTAAATCGCAGAAGACTGGGGATAATAAAAATAAAAATAAATTCTATATTATGGTAATAGATAAATTACAATAACTAGAGGTAAAGCCTTTTAGCTGTCAAAAATAGTTATATTGCAAAAGAAAATTCCACAGATAAATAGTTAACTCACCAAAAGCAATCACAGCCAAAAGCTGTACAACTCCATGTCGCATCTGGCCGAAATTAAGCAACAGACTGGCTAGTTGAGCGGCCAGCAATGCATAGACCCCGCCACTGGCACCCACCAGATAAACCTCCGAGTCCACCACAGAAGTTCCCAAAGATCCAGCCAAAACTCCGGCCAAATAGATGACCCCCGTCCTCAATGATCCATGTACCAACTCCAAGGGTACTCCGAATAGCAGCTGGGTGAGCACATTGTATCCCAGGTGGAGCCAACTAGCATGGAGCAGGGCATAGCTGAAGAATCTCCACAGCTGGAGGCGCTGGTCAGGACGATACACCAGCAGCGAGTCCTCGGGCGGATCTGCATTCACCCATAGAAACACGAGGATCTGGGGATTTAGGGATGTAAAAGCGGGATTAAAAATAAATTGAATGAGTGATAAGAAAACACATTTATTGAAAATGTGAAAACACATTTATTTGTACTTAAAACAATCTACAATCAAAATAAGTTTAGAGGAAAAACTGGCATGAGACAGTTAACTGTTTATTGGAATAGTTTTTAAGCGAAACAACCTATTCCATAAATCTTTTTTTATTCCAAACTAGTTCCGAACCACTTCAAAAGCATTGCTTTTTGGGGGAACCCCCAAACGCACTTGAGGCCAAGAAGGCGGCAATAAAATCATCAAACCCGAACAGACAGAAAGCTTTGAGGAGGGGGGGTGGACAAAGCAACCCCCAAAGGCGCAGACTGCCAGCAGACAGCGACGAGACGTCGCCATCAATTCCCCCCAACCCCTGGGTTTCCATTTCTTCCCTTTTTCACTCCCTATTCCCCATTATTCCCTCCCCATTCCCCCTTTCTCCCCTTTTTTGTGGCCTGGCGGCGTCCAGTCTGTGTGGTGAGCAAAAAGCCAGACGCGGAAAACAAATCGTAGACGTGTTGGATTTTTCGCACGCACTCTGTATCCCTTCTTCTATCCCAAGTCCCCCTTTCCCCCTTTTCCCCCCTTTATGCTACTCGTATATCCTTCAACCGGAAGCCAACTTCCATTTACAAATGCATTGGACTGGGAGTGAGGGTCCAAGTCGTATTCCGTGTGTGTGGCCCTGTCGGCAATTTGTTTGCCTCAAAAGTCAATTGCTCGACCAGATCTGAGATGGGTGGCAGAAATATAAGGAATTCTTGGGGGTCTTTTATCTGGGGGCTGGGGCTGAAATATGATACAGCATCTCTGTTATGGCCAAACAAACAACCCTCTTCGTTGGCCATCTCATTTAAGTTGAGATACAAAACGAGCGGCAGACGTGACTACAAGATGCTGCGCATCGCCGCTCCAAATACTTAAATGTCGGGTTAAGAAAAGTACTGAAAACTGGACTAAAGCAGCATCTAATAATACTAAAGATAAGTGCTTAAGATGTAAGATTATTATTTTTTGTTTAATTTAAGATAGAATGGAATTAAGAAGGGGTTCATAAGTCTATTTCCTTGCTAAGTAATTTAAAGAATTACTTCTTTATGCTCTCCTTTGTAAACATTTTTAAGAACCTATTGGACCAAAATTAATACTCATTCCTTCCCAAAGTCTTAAAAAAGAAATATCAGACTTATTTTTTTCGAGTCTCTGTAAAGCTAGGTTACCCTTGAAAAAGTAATAAAAACTAAAACTCAAAGATTGAGGACTCATCGTATAATAAGTAATTGCTTAGACAGTCATCAGACACAAAAGATCAGGGGTTAGGTGCAAGCCAAATCCAATATGTTGGATATGCCAAGGGTTGCTGTGCAACTTGTACATGCCAACAATTAAACCGAACCAGAATGTGGCCATAATGTTGTGCTTTTATATGCGATGTCATGGCAACCTTACCCCATCGCCATCCCCAAATAAAGGCCACCCCCAAATGTGGCTTTTATGACCCTCAATCAACCCTTGAGGGTAATCGCATTAAAAAGCGGTCACATTTGGCGCCCAATGTGGGTCTACTCACCTCCAAGAGCGAAACGAGGATAATGAAAAAGGGTGGAACCCACTTGGAAGCGGTGGCCCCCTCAAGATGTTTCGCCTTGTGGCTCCCCCAATCCGGGGAACCTTTAGATGCTGCCACTCCGGATGCCCGCTGCACTGACTGCAATGCCATCAGCTGGTCACAGCAGACGCCCAGCACCAGGCCGGATTTCGACGAGGACGGAGCCGGCGGCATTTGCAGAACGGTACTGGGCGGCATCTCCTCCTGCTTCTCCTCCTCCTCCTCCTCCTTTGACTCCTGCTCCCCCTGCACCACCTCCCCTTGACTGAGGGGTCTATTTTTGGGGCGTCTGCCTTGTGACGGTGCCCCACTTAACAGGAGCAACTGAAGCGACGGCGGAGGCGACGCCGGAGACGGCTTCTGTCATGGTGAGATGAGCGGAATGCTGTCTGGCCCCGGCGGCGGCCTTCTGGAAAGAAGAGCAAAAAAGATCACTTAAGAAAATATTTCCCTTAAAAACCTACACCATAAAAATGATAAAAAAATTTATAAATTATATGCTTGGACTAGAGAATTCAATGCCTCTAAAACCTTATATAAAAAATCATTATATTTTGTTAAGATAATATTTTTTGTGGGTTTTCCTATACATTTTTATTAAAATCTAAAAAAACAAATATGGGTAAAATCAAATGTAGCTAAAGGCGTTTTAGTTTAGTTTTTCTGTATTGACTGAGCTAAGTCCTAACCTATTTTTTCGACCAGTGTAGAAGGGGATTACGCGGTGCTGACTATGGCCAAATTAGCTCAAGGTTGTCTCTTTTTCTGCGCCTGTCTTTGGCTTTGACTACAACTGCAGCGCAATTTCTCCCCGGCGCGTCTCGATTTGGCAGACGACGATATTCGACATCGCCAGAGGCGCCATTATTCAGGTCTATATCCCCCGGGCTCCCCTCCCCGGCCACCCCCTCTTTGTTCCCCCTTTTAATGGCCCTAGACGGCCATAAAAGAGTCAAGAATTTATTTCTTTTTTTTTGCACTCACAAGAAATTTATTTCCGCTGCGGCAGCACCGAAGAAAAGAAGGCCAAATTGCAACCCCGAAAGTGCTCAAACTTGAGATTAAGACGGAATTCGAAATTCTTAGCCGAAGAAAGCAGTCAAAAGAATGGCCAAAAGGCGTTTTGCCATAAGCCAGGGGGCTTTGGAGAAAGAAGAGCGGCAGTCAAACTTACGATCATAAATCTTGAAATTAAATGTTGCATAAAAAGTAATGTACCTATAGTAAAAGCAAATAGAGTTGGCTATTTATCATTCCTTATGTCTGGGAGAAATGTTATAGATGTCAGGCTTCTTATATATATTATACCAAAATAATTTTTAATTTACGATACAACCAATTTTTCGATAAACTTCTAGATTAAAAGTAAAATGTGAAAAGCTTAGATGAATTCAATTTTATGGTGTCCATGATTCAAGTGGACGGCAAATAACTCGTACGCCAACTAATCCAAACAGTAAGCTTTTGCTTGAGGATTAACTAGTTTATGTACATGTTTTGGTTTTGCCTAGTTTATGTTTTTGGTTTCCCATGGCGTGTCCTTTTCCTTTCTGGCGTGTCCTTTTCGGTTCTGTTGTGGTGCGGTGCAGTTGCTCTTGGTAATGAGTTTTAATGGTGATTACCTTTGGCCCAAAACAACAGGGATAGTGGAAGGTCCTGTCGTGTTGTCCTGCCCTCTTCAGGGCTCCGTTTCCCAAAAACTTGTTTCACAGACGGAAGTGTTGCTCTTGGTCTTCCCCTTAATGATCCTGGCGCACAACTGGCAAACCGGTTAATGGATCCGAATATGGGGACTGAGGGGCAGGCGCATGCCAAAAACTGTAAAAATATCGACAGGTGTATCCTTAATGTCCTTAAACATCGATTCCTGGTAGCTTCGACTGCTTGTTCAACTTGGTTTGCCGCTTTTTCTGCCGTTGTCCTTGGCACGCAACTTGTTCGTGTGCAGGACACTGAAACGCACAATATCCTTGAAACAAACATCCAACTTCCTCTGTGCCTCGTACTCCTCCTTTTTACCCTCTTCAGGGGCCCTGTGTTTGCCTTCCTGCTTGGCTCATTTGGCAAAGGCAAAAATCGAAGTTCAACTCGCCGTTGAAGTTGATTATGCAAGCCAACCTTCTACGGTGCTCCACCAATATTTTTTTTCTCCTCTCGTTACACAGAAAATAATATTTTATAATAGATAGATTGTATTTTCTATAAGTTCTATTAATTTAAAAAATATTTTTGGGGGCAAAGATATGTTCACGTGAAAAAATACATTTAAATTCTTTCTTTTTTTTTGCTCAATAGAGGAGAGATGGTTTGGATATAATAAATAGTAGGCTTTATTAATTATTAAATACAAGGTTCAATGCCCTTGGTCTTTTATTATTAAAGTTTGAGTAACATTCATAGTACTTTTCTAATTTTCAATTAATTAGTGCACCTTTTGATTTATTTACATAAAAGTGGGTGGTAATTGGTTTATTGAATTTATTTTTCCAGTGCCCTGCTCCTTGAGCTGCTGTTCTAGATTTCCTTACTCGACCGCATTTTGTGTTTGCATTGGGCAAACATTTCATTTACATAATGCTGACTATTTGTGTTTGCATTATTTGCTTCCATTCCTTTGCTTTCAAGTACTTTCCTAAGGTTATCAAATATGTGAGCGTATTCCCACCCATTTTTTCGGTATTTTCTTTTATTGATTTATGCGATTCGATGGGAGACTAAATTGGCTTGAAACACATTGGAAATTATTTTACAATTCCTGGGAAATTGCATAGCGAAGAGATTTCCCTTCTGAATAAATACGGTTAGTTGAAGTTGGCAAGCGAAAGGGCGAAAGACAAAAACAAATTTAATTACTGAAGCCGCAGGGTGTACCACCCAAAAGAAATAGTGAGAGAGAAATGTACATAAAAAATACATAATTACAACGCGGCTTAAATGCCTTTGGGTCGAGAGCAAAAGTTACGGAAAACGAGTTGGCAGCTCCCTCAATGCACAGTCAGTGGGCGGGTCGAAAAGTGAAAGAATAACGAAGAAAGTTACGTTAACAAAACGCAACAACAAATCAACTGCAAACAACAACAAGACGATAAACATAAACTACCAACAATGACGAGAAAATTACTATAAAACTATAATTGAAAAATGTTTACCAGGTGGGTGGCTCTTATGTATGGCGATGGTGGGATCAAAGAAAAAAGTTATGGGAGCTTACACAGAGGAAATTGAAATCTACACTTCTGTACAACCATTTGTATTTTGGGACTATTTTCAATTCAGCTTTGAATGTTAAAAAAAATAGTTTACAAATAAAATTAAGGATCGTGATATCCAGTTGCTAACTCCACTGGTCATAATTTTTAACAATATGGCAAGAGCAAATAACTTTTCCCTTTTAAATGGGCTCAAAAGTGAAGATTTGAATAACTTATCTAGAACTTTTTCTTTTTAAATGGGCCTAAAAGTGAAGGTTCGGGTAACTTATCTAGATTCCGATTCTAAAAAGGTTTTAAAAGGTGAAGGTGAAGAATGAAACAAAATGTTTGATTTACAAAATGGTTTATTTATATAAACTCTAAGAACGGAAGAACCACTCAGATTAAGCCTCTGTTTAAAATTCATACATTGCATTACATTAAAGGTCACCCATTAGAGCTTTCACTGTACCCCAACTCTGGGAACGGTTTTCACTTTTATTCATTTTTTTCAAAGGTTTCTTTTCGCATTTTTTGTATGAGACGATAATGAAGCGTTATGAAAGATGTACATGAAAAGCGAAAAGGGTTGGGGGACAGTTTAGTTGATGGAAAGGGGGTGGCAGGGTTTTGACGCCCAAAGTCTTAGCTGGTTTCACAATAAAATTCCGACAATTGAAGCGAATGCGATTAAAAGTCGCGCACGCCATCGCAGAAGAAATGCGAAGGGGGGCGAGGGGTGGGGAAAAGTGACAGAGGGGCTACGAGGAGGGGGCAAGTGGAGCATCGCGATAGCCGGCGACTTGAAATTCTCAAGCCGAGAAACTGGGAAACAACGACCCACGCAGGCTTCAAAGTTCATTTCCATTCGGGTTGCATGTCAAGCTGCAGTGGCACAGGAGTGAAGAGAGGCGAATGTGGGAAGCAGGCTAGCCCTGTCCCACTCCATCCCATACCCCCCTCCCTCACACTTCGATGGATGGTCTTTCTCTTTGCTTTCAATTTAATTGTAATTTCTTTTGTGTTTATTGCGTTTTTGTGTGTCTGCTGCTTACGTTTTAATTTCATTAACTTGTGTTTACTGTGTGAAACACTTGCCCTTACTCGGACCCCCTTTTCCCTCTTTAGACCGCCTCTGGGCCATAAAACGCTCCACATAAAACTTAGACCACAAGAGCTTGCCTTTGATTCTGTTGTTGTTTGCACAATTTCAACAGAAGAATGGAGCAGAAGCTGCTCTTGATGTCGAGTCCAGATTTCAGAGATTTAGAACGGCCAACAAAAAGAAATTTCTAAACTGCCCAATTCGTTGGTGGTCCAAAAGTTAAAACGAGCCATGATTAGATTTGATAGATATTTGGATAGAAGTAAATACAAGAAGCAGTAAAGAAATTAAAAACAACCGCATTAAAAACTTTATTAAATTAACTTTTTCTAGCATATATGCATGCATATGCTATAAAGAATATACAATTTTGTAAACCAAAATAATTCGCAACCATATTTCCCATACCGGGAATTGAACCCGGGCCTTCCGGGTGAGAGCCGGATATCCTAACCACTAGACAATATGGGAGATGAAAGGACAGGAAGTGTTGAATAACGAATTACTAGTTAATTATTTATATTTTAGATATTTTATTCTTATACGAGAAACTAATTGTCAATTCTTAGAAACAAACAAAAAGATAAACGTCATTTTTTACAACTTTGTATGGTTTATCACGACCTTTTCGGGATATACAATATATATTATATATATGAGATTTTTTAAATTTATCTAAAATAATAAATACTTACATAAAAAAGTCATAGCCATATTTCCCATACCGGGAATTGAACCCGGGCCTTCCGGGTGAGAGCCGGATATCCTAACCACTAGACAATATGGGACTTGAGTTCCACCAAGTTAGATGTAGTTAAGAATTCTGGTAGTACTTATTTATAGAGATCCGATCCTCCATTATTATTTCCTCACCTTACCCTATCGTATTTAAAGAAATACTGAAGGTTTTATGCTGAACTTTAAAAGGTTAATATATTAATTAAATGCGTAGATCACCTGGCATGGTTATACTTTTTCTGATGTCTTTAAGAAAAAAATATAATTTTTCGTAATGAAAAAAAATTTTGAACCATATATTTCCCATACCGGGAATTGAACCCGGG